TCTCTCTCTCTCTCTCTCTCTCTCTCTCTCTCTCTCTCTCTCTCTCTCTCTCTCCTCCAGCACTGCCTCATGCCACCATGCTCCCTACCATGATGATAATGGATTAAACTTCTGAAACAATAAGCCCCCAGTTAAATGCATCCCTTTATAAGAACTGCCTTGGTCGTGGTGTCTCTTCATATCAGTAGAACAGTGACTGAGACCGCTGGTCCTCACCACTTTAATCCCTAGAGTTTGGTACTTTAGCTGCTCTCCTGATGGAACTTGCTGAATGACTGAGTTCTTGAATCAAGAAAATCCTGAATTGTAGTAAAGCTAAACCAAGGAACATCCCCCAGAAAACCTTGAGGGCTGAACCAGCCATAGAGGCTTCCCCATGTTGGTCCCAGCCCAGCTATGTCCTTCTGCTCTCTTGAAGCTGTAAGGGACAGAAAGGTCATTAGTACCACTCTGTGTTGTCCAGCAGACGCTGCAAAATTGTCGTTAATTCCTTGTTGAATTAACAACAAGGACCATTTAGTTTTTTCCTTAATGGCAGTCAGAGTCATGATGCTGACAGTCACCACTGACCTCATGCCTTCTGGGTGTTCAAGGCTGCAAGGCTGCAAGGCTGCAAGGCTGCAGGCTTGGTTTTCACTGGTTGTCCAGAGACTGAGGTCTGCCCAGTGAAACGCCTGTTCGAGGCCACACACGAAGCTCCTAAACTGTGAGCTGAGATTTCAGTCCACTGGGATCTGTGACATAAGCGTGCAGTGTTGGCATAAGGTCCGGACTTTGTGCCACTCTGTGGAGGTCCCTGTATGCCAGGGCATCTGCTATCTGGGGAGATTGTGGAGGAGAGGAAGTCTGAGCTGCAGCGTGTCTGGCCTTTTTGTCTTAAATTGTATGTGTTTGCATATGTCCCTGTGTGTGCAGGAAAATGTGTTCGTGTGTGTAGGGGTCAGAATTCAACCTTGGGTGTCATTCCTTAGAGGTCCATTTTATTTTTGTTGGTTTGTTTTTAAAACAAGGTTTCTCGCTGGCCTGAGGCCTGTGGATTGGCTGGACTGGCTGGCCAGCTAGCCGCAGAGATTCTCTCGTGTCCATCTCCGCAGTGTCGGGACTACAAGGTCACATCACTGTGGCCAGCTTGCTTTCTATTTGATCCTGAAGATTGAGCTCAGGTCTTCATGTTGTTTCATCTTCCCAGCGCCCCGTTTCTGAGATTGTTTAAACATGGTTACTGGTTAGGCTCATACACAGACAAAGGAGAAACACCCCCACTTCTCTCTACTCTAGCGGTCCAGCTAATTTGAATGTTTGCAGAATGTCGCCCAGGTCCTCTGATCCTGTAAGCCCAGCCGCAGCTGTGTGCTGGTGCCCACCTGCTGGTGATGGTGGGGCATGCATACTGAGTTTTGGAGTGACAAGGCCTTGCTCCCAGCTTTTCCTCCTGCAGTCCCTGAAGGCCAAGTTGGGAAGGATGCTTCAAATGTGGTACTTCTTTGCGCAGAGAGTGCGTGCCAGTTAGTTTTGACTACTCCAGCAAACTCCGAGTGTGTGAGTGTGTGGTGCTGGGAACAGAACCCAAGACCTTACATTTGTTAGTTAAGGGACCCACTGCAGTGCTGCACCCCCAGTGCCTGCTGCTGGAATAGGATGTGTGAGCCAGTTAAGTTGGGAACTGGCTCATAGTTTCAGCTGTTTAATCCCCAGCACCGACTGCTTTGCTTTGAGGCCTGCCGTGAGGCAGTCCATTATAATGGGGAGCACGGGGAGCAAGCTGCTACATAGCATGACCCCTGGGAAGAGACTAGTGTTCCCTAAGCACCTTGAAGGGCAAGTCTTCAGGACCCTAAGCCTCCCACTAGGCCCTGCCTCTTAAAGGTTCCATTGCCTTCCGGTAGTTCTGAGCTGAGAACCAAGTTACTAACTCAAGGGCTTTGGGGGAACATTCCAGGTTCAAACTGTAGCCACACAGATAACAGTCAAATGTAGTAAAAGCCGGGGAGTCGGAAGTTCTGAGTGTTACCTTTGGAAAATGTGAAATTTGATGTCTGTGAGTGTGATGATGACTGTGTCTCAGCTGGTTGAGGAAAGCCCAGCAAGCTAACAGCTGGCCCTGGTTAGTGCAGGCTGGCTCGGTGTGTGCACTCATTGCTTCCTTACTAACCTATCAGTACTGTCAGATTTTTGGTTTTTGTCTTATTTTTTACTTAAGAGGTTCTTTGTTCCATCATCCACAAGGATTCTACCATGTGAACATGTTAACTACCATGTTAATGTAGCATGTTACATGCTAAGGAAGACAGCAGGGCTGCCTCTGGGCATGGCAGAGCCCTGGGCCTTGCCTCCATCCCTTTAGACCCGGTGAGGGAGCCCGTCCCTCATCCGACTCACAGCTGGCAGACATACCATCAACAGAAATGATCTTTGTCACTGGGGTCTTGAAAAAGTAATGGGATCTCATGAAGCGAATGTGAGGGGAGACCAGAACTGTGGCAGCAGAGAGATCAGGAAGGCCTACAAAGGTGATATAGTCTGAGACCCACAGATAGACAAAAGCAGATATCACAGCTCATCACGGAAACCTTTTAAGAGAACATGGTCATTTGGGGGCCATTTCTGTGAGTTCCAACATTGACTGCTGTTTCTCAGCATTAGTTACTATGATCAAGTACCCAACAGAAAAGAGGAAAGGAAGACACACTTATTTTAGCCCAGGGTTTCAGGGGGATTTCAGACCATCATAGTAAGGAAGGGCTGGCAGAGTTTGTGGTGGTGGGAGCGTGTGGTGAAGATGCCTCACATAAAAGCAGAGTTGGAGAGGACTGGAGAGATGGCTCAGAGGTTAAGAGCACTGACTGCTCTTCCAGAGGTCCTGAGTTCAATTCCCAACAACCACATGGTGGCTCACAACCATCTATAATGAGATCTGGTGCCCTCTTCTGGTGTACAGGCAGAACACTGTATACATAGTAAATAAATAAAGTTCTTTAAAAAATAAAGCAAGAGGGGGTTCAGAGTCTGATTTTTCTAGATTTTTTGCAAAACAATGTTGCTTGTTGTTCATAGAAGAGGAAAGTGTGTCTTGCAAAAAAGGGGTGAGGGAGAAATCCCTGCCAGCTTCAGAATGTGGTTACCCTGGGAGAGAGGAAGTGGAGGAGTTGAAGGAAGAGGTGATCTTTATGTGGGATTTATAATTTTTATTTATTTGATGTGTGTATTGTATGCATGTGTGCATATGTGTGCATACACATGTGTACATATGTGTGTATGCCTGTGAGTATGCATGTGTGTGTGTGCATATGTGTATATGGGTGTGCAGGCATTTGGTCAGAGGGCAGCTCTCAGGAGCTGGTTCTTTCCTGTCTCCATTTATGATCTGGGGTTTAACTCAAGTTGTCAGGCCCATGTCCTAGTACATGCACCCACTGAGTCATCTTCCTATCCCAGCGTGGAATTTTTCTGAAGCAATGAACATGACTAGTGGACATTCTGCTGGTCCTTGCTGCCAGCTACGTTTTCCGCTTACCATTTCTGAGTGTTTCTACTTTTCAGAGTGTGGGAAAGGGGTTCTGGGCGTGGATGGCAGCTGGACTGACTTCTCAGAACAGGCTGCAGCAAAGCGAGGGGCAGAGGGGGCCATGTTAGTGACAAAGTACCTGACGCAAACAGCTAGCCAAAGGAAAATTTATTTGGGCTTGAAGATTCCAGTTCATAGTCTTTGGCTCCATTAATCCTGGGCCTGTGGTGTGGTGAGGCAGAACACGGCAGTGAGAGCCTGTGAAGAAGAACGTTCACTTCGTGGTGGACAGGAAGTGGAGAGAAATGAAGGGACAGCGTGGTGCACCCTTCCCAGCTCTCTCCAAGCAGATCTTCCTCTTGGAGTTCTCAGCACCTCTTAAAACAGCACCGCCAGCCAGAGACGGTGTGCTCAGCCCCGGACCTGATGAGGTCACTTCCTGTTCAAACCATAGGCTGAGGCTAGTCAGACAGGTGGGCAGGCCTGGGGTGCACAGGCTTGTGAGGTTATAACCACACGTGTGAACGTCATCATGAGCTCAGTGGGTGACACCAGAGGTGGGGAGTGACATGGTCTGGTTTCTGTCGACAGACACGTGGTCTTCTGTTTTGAGGACAATGGGTAGAATGTTAACACTGGTGTCAGGGGACTTGGCTGCCCTGCTCTACCGAGACCTCAGGGAACTAGTCTTGATCTAGTGTATTTTTCCACAATTAGAAAATTTTGTGTTATATGCTAATTATACCTTATCTAAGATGTGGAAACAAGAAAGAAGGAACATGTCACTGTGAAATCCAAGAGACAAATGGGGAAAACAAATCTTCAAAAGTCTCAATAATATTGAAAGTGAAAAACTATTTATTAAATGAAAGATTAATCATTAAAAATGAGGCAAAGACACTGGGCTTGGTGGTGAATGCCTGTAATTACAGCACTCAGGAGACTGAGTAGGAGGATTGGGTGTTCAAGACCAGCCTGAGCTACATTAGAGAAGCTCTGTCTCAAAAATGTTACAAACTAAAATGAAAATAAAACATCAAAAAAGTAAGTGAAGTAAGACAGGAAAACTCTGATAGATGGTAGAAACTAGAGTAAGCACAGAGAGACACTTAGTGAGTTGGAATAGAGTTCTGAGAAGTTTCCTTGAAGACAGAGTAAACTATGAAGAGGTCATTAAAAGACACCAAAGATTGAAGGAGCTATCCTGTGTTTATTTAATAGAAATTCTACCAGAAGAGATTGGAGAAAATAAGAGGTTTACTCAAAATGTAAAAGCTGAGAATTTTCCAGAACTGAAATGTGGAAGTGATCATTAAGCAGTGAAGAGAATTTTATAATCTCAGCTTCAAAAAACACTATGCAAAATGGTAGCAGGCATTGAGCAAAATGGAAGATTGTAGACTACAAAAGATCCATAGTAGACCAACAGTAGACCCATAGTAGATCAATAGTAGATCCATAGTAGACCAACAGTAGACCCATAGCAGACCAACAGTAGACCCATAGCAGACCAATAGTATATCCATAGTAGACCAACAATAGACCCATAGTAGACCAACAGTAGACCCATAGTAGACCAACAGTAGAGCAACAGTAGGCTGCTTTAAAAGTGGGTCAAGAAAGAATCAGAAACATTTTTAGAGAAGCCAACACCCATGCTCTTTGGTGAATCTTTCTTTCTGAGTGCCTCTCTTTCTGTCTTCACCTTCAAGCTTCAAATCTATATTAGAAATGTCTTTTAATGACCCCTGCTCTCCAAAAGGAAAGTCCAAGACAGCCTAGAATCCCATGTTGCAAAAAATCTTGATATGCAGAATGATTGTGGAGTACAGATTGTAGAGTACATTTGGACACAACCCTACCCCAAATTCCAAGGGTCTTGAATATTTGAAGTTTGGGGAAAAGAGGAACCCTTTCAGATCATAAGGCCCGGGGCCCAGTGATGGCCCCCATTGCCCACAGACACTGCAGAGAGAGAAGGGCAGTATTCAGCTTTTGTCACCTGTGGGGAGCATGGCGCTCCTGGGCCATGTTGCCCAGGATTTCATAAGTACAGTGCAAATGAGAGGGATGTGACTATTTCCTCTCAGGCCTTTTCGGGGTCTCTAAGAGAATGGGTGTTGGTGGAGAGAAGAGAACAAGGATTATTCTTGGCCCCATCTGGGGTGGTTTTGGGGACAGTGTAGGAGAATGGGAAGAGTGAAGCTGAGGATGGAACTGGACCCTGGCCCGGGTAAGAAGGAACCCAGGCATGTAAGAGCCCCTTCCCTAATGGCGCAGTCTAGACAGTCTCTCTGTTTTCCAGATTGTGGACAAGAACAACCGCTACAAGTCCATAGATGGATCGGACGAGACCAAGGCCAACTGGATGAGGTGAGTCCCAGCCCTGCTGGCTCCAGGGGGCCTCGCCAGCCTCTGGAATGAGCCAAGGGAGCGTCTTGGGCTTCCATGCTCTCAGAGCTCTCCAGGCCGCTCCAGAACTGCTGCGGGCAGTGGGCTGCAGACATCTTAGAGGCTGTAGAGGCTCTGGGCTCTTGGTAGAATTCCTGCAGAAGAGGAGAATGGTCCCCACCTCGAATGGACCTGGGGCAGGTTTCTGCTGCTTGTGTGGCATCTCTCCAGGGAAGACCCAGAAGCCATCCCATGGTTGTGTGGGGGTGAAGCCTCCTGCCATCTCCAGCTCCTGTTCCCACAGGACTCACACAGGATTGACTGCTGACAAGAGTGGTCCTACTCTGACCCCAGGCTGTGGCCCGGAAGTTTACATCAGAAGGGTCCTAAAAGTCTAACCAGAGAGAGCAGAGAATTGAACAGGGCTCCCTCCTCAGGTGGCTACACTGAGTTGGGATCCAGGCCCAGAGCTGGCCTGTGTGCTGCATGTGGGTGTGTGTTAGGAAAAGGGTCAGTCTGGACTCAGTACCACTCAGTGGTGACAGGGGATTTGGATATGGTCGGAAATCAAAGAGGCCTTCCCAGACCCGGGGGCCCAGTCACATCATGGGTTGGAGGCCTTGCCATTGTGTAGTTCTGTAGGGACTTATGGTGGGGACATCAGGAGATGTCTCAGGGAGTCTGAGCACATGAGGAAGAGCTGGTTAGAAGTGGGGAGTCAGGAGGAGGTTCCCTGTGTCCCTCTTGGGGGCCTCACTGTCACCGGCATACCCTCAGAGCTGCAGCTAGCTTGCGGGGCAGTTTGGGTTCATCCTCTTATTGAGGGTGCAGCCATTCCCACTGCCACCGAACAGGTGTAGAATCAGGACCCTCCTCCTCTACAGAATGGTCAGTCATCCCTGAAAGCGGCACAGGAAGTTGGGCTGGACATTCCTAGCCATCTTCTCCTCCTGTCCAAAGGCCCCTTTACCAAGGTCAGCTCTGCAGCGTCTCGTATCCCTGATACTGAGCACTGCTTCTGTCCAGACACAGGATGGGCACTGGAGAAGAGGCCGGTCCAGCCCTGCCCAACCTTGCCCTCTTCGTCCTCGCAAGGCTCACACCTGCCACCGCGTAAATGGTGGAGAAGCACAGACGTGAGCCATGATGGTCCAGATGGAATAGGAAGGAGCCTTTGATGCGAACCTTCAGAGGGGCAGGACTTTGTCGAGGGCACCTGGGGCAAGTAGTACAAGCCTTGCAGAAATGGCTGTCAATGGACAGCACAGACCAGAGCCTGTCTGAGGTTTTGCATGGGTCACAACAGTCAGGTCCAGGCCCGCTGAAGGAGCGTGTCTGATACATCCTGGTGTCACTTGCAGAAATCCAGGAACTGTTGCTTAGAGAACTGACCTGTTCCATGTTTCCCCCATTTCTGAGCTTTCTCACGGGGAAAATGCTTTCCCACAGTCCCTTAGGAGGTGTTGCCTCATCTCAACCAACCAAGCCATTATTTAGCATGCCAGGGATGCGGATATAACTTGGTTGGGGATGGATCTGGAACGTCAAAATTTTGCAAGCTCTTTATAGTGATTATTGTGGCCCCTCAGGCTGACAGCCATTGCTCTGTGCTGGTGGCCATGCCCCAATGATGAACTGAGACCAGAGCAGGGCAAAGTCTTGCTCAATGGCATGTCATCCATGGAAAAGTGAGGACCGTGGCTCTGTGTCTCTGGACCTACAAGCCAGGGTTCTTTACCTGCAAGCCTGGGTTTTTTCATCTAACGCACAAGGGACCAGGCAGAGCTGTGGGTAGGTGCAGTGGGCCGGAGTCTGCTCCTCCCACCTTATTAGCATGACTCTGTCCTGATGCCCCTAGTGTGTCCTGACTCCAAGTGGCTCCTTGGTGGTCTTAGCACTGTGTCCAGGCTTGGAAAGGCTCCAGGATCTAGTGGCTGTGTCTGTGTGTGGCCTTGCTTTTGGTAGCTCTTATTAATTTACAGACTCCCTTAGTTGTGCTCTCAGGGATCAGGGGCCTGGGGTGATGCAATGCAGAGATGCCTTTAGGAAATCAGTGGTGGGCCAGGCAAGGGATAGTTATTCATGTTGAGTGGTAACCTATGCAAGCTCTGTTAGGTGCTCCATGTGCGTTAATTCTCAACTCAGGGCTGCTTTGTGCCTCTGGGGGTTACTTGAGACATGTGTGCCTTTGGCAGTGCTTTCAGACATTCTAGATGGGCAGAGCTTCATGCATGGGCACTCCTGGTTTGCACTGAGGTAAAAGGTAAGCATATTATTGGACATTCCACAGTAATCTCATCTCCTAACACAGACTCTGTGAGTGCCCATAGGGACTTAATTAGGGCCCTGCAGGGTTCACCCTAGTTTTACAGAGGCCCTGTGGTCCACAGGGATAGTCACAAGTCTGTCTGAGTGCAAGACTTTGCCCTGAGCTGGGTCCCGAAGCCCCCCACTTTCCTTTACCTGATTATACCCTTGACTTGGAGGAGAAAAAGAAGGCTGGAGGAACTGAGCAGTGCCGATCTCCTGTGTGGCTTTGGAAGCCTATGGGATGGGATCCAGGTTTCCCTCAGTACCCTGGTTCCTCCAGGTGGAACTTTCAAAGCTATAGTGAAAGGTAGGTAGAACCACAATGTGAAAAAATTGGGTTCCAGAGCCAGAGCAGGTACCAGGTCAGCAGGTACCAGGTCAGCAGGTACCAGGTCAGGTGGAAGAGTCTTGGCAAACTCAAGGCTACCTTAGTGTCCTTCCAGGGGTAGCATGTCTCTTGGAGGATGTTCATGGGTGCCTCACAGCTTACCCAGAATGCCACTTGAGGAGCAGCTGGTGGAGCAGCTGGTGGAGGAGAGGAGCAGCTGGTGGAGCAGCTGGTGGAGGAGAGGAGCAGCTGGTGGAGCAGCTGGTGGAGGGGAGGAGCAGCTGGTGGAGCAGCTGGTGGAGGAGAGGAGCTTGTTTTACTCTGCACACATACAGGGACGGAGATGTGGGGGACACTGGGAAAGGGAAATGAGCCACAAGTACAGAATAAGCTTTCTGTGACCACAGCATGACGGACACTAGCAGCCAATGCCACGGGCCACTGCAGGCCGCTGTAGGGCTGTTTTTTCGATTCTCAAAATTTTTACATTTATATGTGTGTGTATGCACACATGTTCAGCTTCCCACAAAGTCCAGAGGGGGCGACAGATCCATCGGAGCTTGAATGAGAGGCATTTGTGAACTTTCTGATGTGGTCGCTGGGATACAAACTCTAATCCGCTGTCAGTGCTAACCACTGAGCCATTTTTCCAGTCCCTTAAGTTGTTAAGGCTCCTGTACATAGATGGAGCCTTCAGAAACTGCTGTGGTTGGCACCCCAGCTCTGGATGGGGAGAGTGAGGCAGCAAAGGTCCAATGAACTTGAACTTCCTGGTGCAGTTCAAGGTGCTGTAGGGTAGCCCTGCCCTGCAGTCGCTGGGCTCCTTCTGCCTCGTTTTCCTGCCTTCCCTCTGAGGAGGGAGGAAGAGGCGCCATTGTAGGAGGAGGGTGTGGTGGAGCCTAGGTGGCCACAGGTGTTCCCTGGCTTCCCAGATGGGGCCTGTGATTAGGAAGGAGGACCACCCTCGTTGACGGTCATTTACCCAATTATGCTTTGTGGGATATTCAACCCAAGGAACATGCTGCCCCTGGCGGAGCGTAAGAGGAAGCCCAAATTCTCCAAGGAGGAGCTGGACATTCTGGTCACAGAGGTGACCCGTCACGAAGCGGTTCTCTTTGGAAGAGAGACCATGCGACTGTCCCATGCCGACAGGGACAAGATTTGGGAAGGCATAGCTCGGAAAGTCACCTCCGTCAGCCAGGTTCCCCGCTCCGTCAAGGACATTAAGCACAGATGGGATGACATGAAGCGCAGGACCAAGGACAAGCTTGCCTTCATGCAGCAGTCACTGTCGGGCCCGGGGATCGGGGGCCACGTCCATCCCATCATGCTCAGTGTCCACGGGAGGGCCATCAAGTCAGCACTGCTCACTGCCCCAGCTGGGCACAGCTTCTCCAGTGCAGAATTGGATGGTGTCGACAGCCCTTCTACCAGCTGTGAGTATTGCTGCCTGTCCGCGGCCTGAGTGTGGGGGCTTGCTTCCTCTTGTGCACCCCTTCCTCCCTGTCTCCCCAGCTCTCTCCACGCCTGCATGCTACTTCTGTCCTGTGCATCCTGTCTGTGTTAGAAGCTGCCTTGGGAACAGGAAGGACAGGGCTGTATCGAAAACCCACACAGACACTTGTAGGATTAAAAAGCTTCAGATGCACCCAACTTTTGGGCTGAGGGTTGCATGCACATAGCTGTGAATGTGGCCTAACCCGAATCATAAGCTTGTTTAAAACATTGCAAGCTATTTACTTATTCATTTATTTGTTTGCTTGTTTGTACCTTGAGCAGGAACTTGTAGGTGACCTTTGAACTATTTTTTTTTTGCTTGAATTAATTTGCTTGAATTAGATTATTGCTCATCCTTAGAAAACAGATACAGGTTGACCCAGTCCAGGACATCCCCAATTTCCAGTGTAGACGTACGGGATACCCAGGGCCCACATGGGGCCTGCTGTTCTGTAGCCAGTGGGGTCCAGTGTCTTCATTCTGTGTTGGGTCTGCAAAGCACATGGCAGGAGGTGCTGAAGCTGTAAAATAGATCAGGCCAAGACTGGCTGAGGAAGGCACTCGAAGGGTGAGGAAGAGTTAACCAGGCCTGGTGTGAGGCGCAGAGGAGGGGAGGGGAGGGCGAGCAGGCTGGGAACAGCATGTACAAAGCCCACATCAGGAAGGCGCTTGGCACGTTCCAGGAACTGCAGAAGCCAGGGAAGCCCCAGCATAGCCAGCCGGGGGAGGGGCACTATCGCAGCAGCCAAGTGCAGGGCTGGGCCCAGGAAAGGCCTTTCTCTGTGCTTGCCTGGTCACTTGTCTGCCTTGTCCTCTGCACTTCAGTCTTGCACTTTTCTGCAGTCCGTGCCTCTGGTGCTCATCTGAGACTGGCTAGGCCCCCCCCCCCATGCTCTCTCTGGCTCCCCTGCCCCGCCTGTTCTCTTTCCCTGTTGCCCCACCTTCTTGCTTCCTGGGACTTTCCTACAGTCTTTCTAGTTGACCAGAAGGGGGAGCCACTGGAGTCCCTCTCTGAAGAACGCCACCTCTTCCTTTCCTCCTCTTCACACACCCAAACCCACCCTCATCTGCGCTCCTCCCCGGAGGCCCTTGAGCAGGCTGTGGGGGCCGCACGCAGCCCGCAGGAAGGTGCTTCACAGAGTCTGCCTTCCACCCTGGCCCCTTGCCACGGGAATCTGCTCATTTCCTGTTTGGCTGGGGCCTCTGACAGGTGGCCACTCTCAGAGTCAGCATCAGGAGTAGGAAAGAGTGTTCCTGATGAAGCAGGCTTCCTTGTTAGTCAGCTGAGGAAAACAATCTTCCAGAAAACAGAGGTGCCCCTGAGACCGAGCCAGACTTGAGCCTGGGTCTGCCAGGGTTTGCTGAAGCCTCAGGGGGGTGGCATCCAGAAAAGCCTATTTCCTGAATCCTGCCCTACTCACCGCTCTGTTTCCTAGAGATCAAAGGTGATGAGGTTAGCAGAGGTAGCCTGGGGTGCAGGAGCCCCCATATTTACTAATAGTCACCAGTTTCAGCCTGGCTAGGACCTCAGGCTTGGAAAGGGCGTAGTGGCAGCTCAGAGTGCTCATTCCCACCCTTAGTGGCATCTGCTTACTGGGCATGCTCAGGAAGCAATAGGCTCTCACTGTGCCACTCCCATGAGACCCCAGGGACCTTAGGAAGGAGGAAACCACCTAGAAGAGTAACTTCTTGGGAGGTAACTGACTTTTAGCCCCACACCAGACAGGGAGACCCCCTTTCAGCAAGATGAGTCTGTCACAATTTTTATTTCTGCTATGGGAATCCACCCATAATGTGGCCACCTGAAAGTAGAGACCCCTATGTTCAGGGAGGAGTAGCAATCTGTCACACAAGTTCTACATGATCAAGCATTCATGATGGGTCATGATGTGTCTGACCTGGCAGCCCACCCTGGGGGACAACAGGGTTGGTAGCCTGCCCCACATAACCCTGCTGATTCCCACACCAGCCCTTCCCTCCCATCTATGGCATCACCTTGCAGAGACGGGAGGCTGAGCTCACAGAGAGAGGAGGAGGCTGAGCTCACAGAGAGAGGAGGAGGCTGGGCTCACAGAGAGAGGAGGCTGGGCTCAGAGAGGGGAGGCTGAGCTCAGAGAGGGGAGGCTGGGCTCAGAGAAGGGAGGCTGAGCTCAGAGAGGGGAGGCTGGGCTCAGAGAGGGGAGGCTGAGCTCAGAGAAGGGAGGCTGGGCTCAGAGAGAGGGGAGGCTGGGCTCAGAGAGGGGAGGCTGAGCTCACAGAGGGGAGGCTGGGCTCACAGAGAGAGGAGGAGGCTGAGCTCAGAGAGGGGAGGCTGGGCTCAGAGAGGGGAGGCTGGGCTCAGAGAAGGGAGGCTGGGCTCAGGGAGGGGAGGCTGAGCTCA